AACCCCAGCTCCCTGGCACAGCAGGGGCTCTTTCCAGTCCAGCCGTCCACGGCCTGATTTCGCAGGCTTTCCACTGCACAAAGGAACGCCCCCAGGGAGCCACATCTGCTACGCGCCCCAGCCAGGTGCATGCAAAGTGCAGCAAACCCTTCGCCCACCACCTGGAGGCCCAGCCTCCAAGCGGTGATCACGAACATGCACGATTAGTAATTCGGGGCGAGGCCACGTTTGCTGCAGGGGGAGAGGCTGGCACCGGGGAGCAGCCACTCAGAGACGGAGCTTTGCCAGGAGCGAGGGTCTGTGCACGGTCACTTGGCACCACCACACGCGTCTTTCTCCCTCTGCTCCTAGTGCTCAGAACTGGAATTGCAGGCAGCCACGAAGACGGGCCTGCTGCTAGCGCGAGAAATGGTCTCACTCGGTACTGCCGCACGGGCGCCATCTCCTCTGGGCAACTGGCCCCTGCCTCAGAGCAGTGCGCGACTGCTTGTCTGGCTAGAGGCCAGCCCTCGGGAAGTCCCCTCTGCACAGGGGACCCTGGTGTGACCGCATCCGGCTGCCCCAGGCTTCTGAAGCAGGGTTCACACGACACACTTCCCCTGTAATCATGCTAGTGGGTACGGCCCAGGGTCCGCACCAGACTCCTTTCCCTTCGGAGCGCAGAAGGGACAAAAGCCAAGATCAATCTGGTCCCCTGCTTGACCCTGGAGCATTGGCAAGTTGAGGGCCGGCCAGCCCCTGGGAGGGACAAGGGCCCTTCCACACACAGGCAAGGGGCCAGCCTGGGCTGGGGGAGTCCCCGCTGAACTCGCGCTCCCGGGCGAGATGGAGCGACTCTGAAACCTGTCCCAGTGCCCAGAAGAGCAGATCCCAGGCCTAAGCACCTGCTGTGCCTTCCGCTGGAGGCTCAGCAGGGCCACGGAGGCCGTCCCCAGCCCTGACTTCCAGGCACGCCCTCCAGCTGGGCTCAGTGTGGACGAGGCAGAGCCCTGCTTCAGAAGCCACGGCAGAGCCCCGCTGTTGGGCCACTACCAGTGTCCAAAGCCACAGAACCCCAAGTGCATCCACAACTCAATGTCAAACAAGCGGAGGGGCCAAGTGCAGCCAATCAGGGTCCTGCTTCAAGCCAGCCTGAGGTTGAGACCAGGGCAAGTGACTTACTATAGGTGCCCATGACAGAAGACGGGCACTTGGGGCTGTGGGACTTTAGCTCTGGAGGGACCTGTGGAGCAGCTGAACAAAAACAAACAGACAGTTTAGAAAAGAGGCAGAGCCAGG